GAGCTTGAGACAGGGCTGGTGGCTGGGGATGGGGTGGTACCATGGACTGGAGCAGTGGCTGAGCTTGAGACAGGGCTGGTGGCTGGGGATGGGGTGGTACCATGGACTGGAGCAGTGGCTGAGCTTGAGACAGGGCTGGTGGCTGGGGATGGGGTGGTACCATGGACTGGAGCAGTGGCTGAGCTTGAGACAGGGCTGGTGGCTGGGGATGGGGTGGTACCATGGACTGGAGCAGTGGCTGAGCTTGAGACAGGGCTGGTGGCTGGGGATGGGGTGGTACCATGGACTGGAGCAGTGGCTGAGCTTGAGACAGGGCTGGTGGCTGGGGATGGGGTGGTACCATGGACTGGAGCAGTGGCTGAGCTTGAGACAGGGCTGGTGGCTGGGGATGGGGTGGTACCATGGACTGGAGCAGTGGCTGAGCTTGAGACAGGGCTGGTGGCTGGGGATGGGGTGGTACCATGGACTGGAGCAGTGGCTGAGCTTGAGACAGGGCTGGTGGCTGGGGATCGTGTGGCACCATGAACTGGAGCAATGGTTGAGGAAGTGGTGGCACCATTGACTGGAGCAGTGGTTGAGGAAGTGGTGGCACTGTGGATTGGATCAGTGGCTGAGCTTGAGGCAGGGCTGGTGGCTGGGGATCGTGTGGCACCATGAACTAGAGCAGTGGTCGGGGAAGTGGTGGCACTGTGGACTGGAGCAGTGGCTGAGCTTGCGGCAGGGCTGGTGGCCAGGGAAGAGGCAGCATGGGGGACTGGACCTGTGGCAGAGCTGCTGGCTGTGTTCACAGAACTTCTGTCAGTGAACTTGGACGTTGGGCTGCTTTGGGCAGTCATAGTCTGTGTATTTCCGCTGAGGCTTGTGTGGCCAGAGGTTTGAGAAACCATTTGGGGGGGAGGGGTGGCAGTAGCTGTAAGAAGTTGAGAATGAGGTTCTGGGATAAATTAGCACAAGGAGAAAATACATCCTGTAGCATTTGGAGGCATAATGCTCGGAGGACTTGAGGAGCAGGCCCAAGTCCGCCCTCCNTGTGGACTGGAACAGTGGTCGAGCTTGAGGCACGGCTGGTGGTCGGGGAAGTGGTGGCACCATGAACTGGAGCAGTGGCCGAGCTTGAGACAGGGCTGGTGGCTGGGGATGGGGTGGTACCATGGACTGGAGCAGTGGCTGAGCTTGAGACAGGGCTGGTGGCTGGGGATGGGGTGGTACCATGGACTGGAGCAGTGGCTGAGCTTGAGACAGGGCTGGTGGCTGGGGATGGGGTGGTACCATGGACTGGAGCAGTGGCTGAGCTTGAGACAGGGCTGGTGGCTGGGGATGGGGTGGTACCATGGACTGGAGCAGTGGCTGAGCTTGAGACAGGGCTGGTGGCTGGGGATGGGGTGGTACCATGGACTGGAGCAGTGGCTGAGCTTGAGACAGGGCTGGTGGCTGGGGATGGGGTGGTACCATGGACTGGAGCAGTGGCTGAGCTTGAGACAGGGCTGGTGGCTGGGGATGGGGTGGTACCATGGACTGGAGCAGTGGCTGAGCTTGAGACAGGGCTGGTGGCTGGGGATGGGGTGGTACCATGGACTGGAGCAGTGGCTGAGCTTGAGACAGGGCTGGTGGCTGGGGATGGGGTGGTACCATGGACTGGAGCAGTGGCTGAGCTTGAGACAGGGCTGGTGGCTGGGGATGGGGTGGTACCATGGACTGGAGCAGTGGCTGAGCTTGAGACAGGGCTGGTGGCTGGGGATGGGGTGGCACCATGGACTGGAGCAGTGGCTGAGCTTGAGACAGGGCTGGTGGCTGGGGATGGGGTGGTACCATGGACTGGAGCAGTGGCTGAGCTTGAGACAGGGCTGGTGGCTGGGGATGGGGTGGCACCATGGACTGGAGCAGTGGCTGAGCTTGAGACAGGGCTGGTGGCTGGGGATGGGGTGGTACCATGGACTGGAGCAGTGGCTGAGCTTGAGACAGGGCTGGTGGCTGGGGATGGGGTGGTACCATGGACTGGAGCAGTGGCTGAGCTTGAGACAGGGCTGGTGGCTGGGGATCGTGTGGCACCATGAACTGGAGCAGTGGTTGAGGAAGTGGTGGCACCATTGACTGGAGCAGTGGTTGAGGAAGTGGTGGCACTGTGGATTGGATCAGTGGCTGAGCTTGAGGCAGGGCTGGTGGCTGGGGATCGTGTGGCACCATGAACTAGAGCAGTGGTCGGGGAAGTGGTGGCACTGTGGACTGGAGCAGTGGCTGAGCTTGCGGCAGGGCTGGTGGCCAGGGAAGAGGCAGCATGGGGGACTGGACCTGTGGCAGAGCTGCTGGCTGTGTTCACAGAACTTCTGTCAGTGAACTTGGACGTTGGGCTGCTTTGGGCAGTCATAGTCTGTGTATTTCCGCTGAGGCTTGTGTGGCCAGAGGTTTGAGAAACCATTTGGGGGGGAGGGGTGGCAGTAGCTGTAAGAAGTTGAGAATGAGGTTCTGGGATAAATTAGCACAAGGAGAAAATACATCCTGTAGCATTTGGAGGCATAATGCTCGGAGGACTTGAGGAGCAGGCCCAAGTCCGCCCTCCTCCTCCTTCCCAGCAGGCAGCCTCCCTCTTCCCTCACCCCTCTGCTCCTGATTTGGCCACTCTCCACTCCTAAGATTTACCTCCCCGCGGCTCCCACCCCCACCCCCACCCTCCGGACTTCTCTTCAGGAAGCTCGCCTGTCCCTGGCACCCACTCTCCTGGGGGGTCGTCTCTTCTTAGCCTGTCTCCCTTATTCTGGCACACACTAGGCCACCCGTGAGCAACTTCTGCCTCCTGGGGTGCCATCCGCCAGGAAACAAAACCCACAGAAAGGCTGTGCAGAGCAGCCCCTTCCCCACCTTGTGCCCCTCACCTGTAAGCACTGGGACTAGTAGCAGCAGGAGGAAGAAAAGGGCCTGGATGCCCGGTGTCATGGTGGTGGCGAGCCGGGTGGGGAGGGGGCAGAACAGATTCAGGCAGGTACTGCGTGTGAGGTGGCGCGGGCACAGGCACCAGCTGCTTTATACTGGTCCCCCCTGCCCCGCCCGCCAAAGCAGGCGACAGGTGACAAA